TATGCATAGGTTCCTAAGATGTGCAGAGATTCCTAATAAGTACAGATCCCCAATATGTGCAGATTCCTAATATGTACAGATTCCTAATATAGACAGATCCGTTATATGTTCGGATTCCTAATATTTACAGATTCCTAATATATACAAGTTACTAATAAGTAAAGGTTACTAATATGAAAGGGTTCCTAATATGTAAAGGTTCCTAAAGCAGGTTCCTATTATGTAAAGGTTCCTAAAGCAGGTTCCTAATATGTAAAGGTTCCTAAAGCAGGTTCCTAATATGTAAAGGTTCCTAAAGCAGGTTCCTAATATGTAAAGGTTCCTAATATGTAAAGGTTCCTAAAGCAGGTTCCTAATATGTAAAGGTTCTTACAGCAGGTTCCTTTAATAGGTTCCTATTACAAGTTTCTAATACAAGTACCTAATATATACAGGTTCCTAAATTCAGGTTAGGAATATTGAAATCTGCTTTAAATTACAAAATAAATATATCTTTAGAATTCAAGGCTTATCTTAAGAAAGATAAATATGGAGAAATTTCAAAGAAACATTTTCACTTTGATTTAAACTCTATATTCGCACAACACACACATAGGCTTTCCTCATTTTCATCAGCTATAACAGATATTGTTGGCTTTCACTTTAAAAACTGATAATTTTTAAATTAAAGATTCACAATGGCGTGACATTTCAATTTTTGCTTTGGAAACTATGTTAGATTTTAACACTCAAAGGGACTGTAATGGAAACATGAAAGGGGGTATAGGATGAAACTTGAGAATCTCAGGCGTTGAACGATACGTACAGACGGAAATCATGTGATCAGTATACTGCACTGCCATTGGCTGAAGTTCTGGTGACGTAATACGGACTATACGGATTATATGTAATGATATTATCAATTATGTCTGTTAAGAATGCGAAATAAAAATTTAAAAATTATAATAGGAGCAAACCTGAGATTCCCAGGCTTCTGTGGGATATAATCGTTTTTAGATTGGTTTCGTTTTTGTTGAATATGATCTGTTTAATACTACTACTTTAATACAAAATTGTATATATATGAATTTTCGTATAATTTTGACACAGTTTTATGTCAATATCCCGAGATAGGAACATCAAATAGATGTCTTAATTGTATCGTTCAACGCCTGAGATTCTCAGGATTCTATACCCCCTTTCATTTTTCCTTTACAGTCCCTTTAACAAGATATCTTCCACATTATTGGTTAGATAACGCGGTTTAAACGATACCGTCGTGAATCAGGCATGCGTCTTCTTGAAATAAAAGATCCCTTAGCTGTCCCGTCAGTATTTTTCAGAAAACTTGGTTTTTAGTTTTCTATTTTTCTAGAATAATAGTTGCCTGCAACTAATGATACCAATCTAACAAGCTTTGTCTTTTTACAAACTTTTCTGTTGAAATAATTCGTCTGTCGAGTCTGTGTATCTTTATGTGTACTTTTTTCATCTATCTTCCTATCTATTCATCTGTCTAGTCTGTATATCTTTATGTGTACTTTTTCATCTATCTTCCTATCTATTCATCTGTCTAGTCTGTGCATTTTTATGTGTAATTTTTTCTTCTATCTTCCTATCTATTCATCTGTCGAGTCTGTGTATCTATATGTGTAATCTTTTCATCTATCTTTCTATCTATTCATCTGTCTAGTCTGTGTATCTATATGTGTAATCTTTTCATCTATCTTTCTATCTATTCATCTGTCTCTCTGTTTATCGGCCACCTGTCTATATAATCTCTCTTTTTCTTTGTCTATCTACCTCTCTGTCTCTCTGTCGCTCCGTCTATCTGGTTATCTGTCTATCTGTATTTCTGTCTATATGTCTACCTGTCTATATTTCTATCAGTCTATCTGTCTATGTGTTTATATGTTAATCTGTCTATATGTCCATATGTCTATCTGTCTATCTGTCTATCTGTCTATCTGTCTATCTGTCTATCTGTCTATCTGTCTATATGTCTATCTGTCTATCTGTCTATCTGTCTATCTGTCTATCTGTCTATCTGTATATATGTCTATCTGTCTATATGTCTAACTGTCTATATGTCTATATGTCTATCTGTCTATATGTCCATCTATGTATATGCCTATCTGTCTATATGTCTAACTGTCTATATGTCTGTATGCCTATCAGTCTTTCTGCCAATCTGTCATGCAATCTGGCTATCTATCTATTTATTTATATCTGACTTTCTGTTTTTTGTCTAACTATTTATCATTTGTCTATCTTAGTCTAACTTTCTCGCCATAATGTCTACAAATGCTTTTCTTTAACGTATTTCTGAATTATTGCTTCTTTTTCCTCTTTCTATCTCTCCTCATTATTACTGTTATTCCTAAAATGTTTACATTAAGTTAAAAAGTTTAAAGTTTTCCTTCTTTGCAAACTTGAAAATCCGCTAAATTAAACTTTAAAGCCTTTATCCGTCAACGCGCCCATCAAAGCACTTTCTCAGCACTATTCTTTTTTGTCGCTTTTGATCTTAAAGGGCTTATGTACGTAATTTCATATGACCCTCAATTTAAAAAGTGGAATTTCTGACAAAATTCTTTTAAGAAAGCAGTTAGTTCAAATCATTTTTTATTTCTAAAGAATTTAATGGAATGGTAGAAATGGCAAATTGAATTTAAAATATTAGATCCAGTTACTGAAATATTTCAGATTTGATAGTATTAAAATATTGTAAATTAAAGGGACTGTACGCGGCTGTAGGCAATATTCACAACAATACCAATTAAATCTTTGACTGATCAGCAAGGACAGAGCATTTAGTGCGTAAATCTCTTAAATACTGCGTAAAAAGCCGTAAATCTGGAGTGTACTCAGCGCACTTCCCCGGTGTGTACTGAACGCGACTAATGTAACAATTAAAATATAATAAATCCAGAAAATGTCCAATGCGGGCTCTAAAAATTCTAAAATGAATATTCATATTCTTCATATTCTGCCACTTCTTGAAAGTAAATATTAATATTCCTTAAATATAAAACAGCTTACAAACAAAGTGTTTAACATTTACAATAGTTTTTTTCTGGGAAATAACGAAAAGTCCGCCATCCTTGATATGTCAAACGTTTTAAGGGTACAGTTGTGAATTGGGGAGCCTCCTCTTTCATTGGAAGTTCACTTAAAATTAGGCTTACAGCCCCTTTAGACCTACAGTCCCTTTAGACCTACAGTCCCTTTAGACCTACAGTCCCATTAGACCTACAGTCCCTTTAAATAAAACATATTTTGTTCTTTTCTTCACGTCCCAAGACAGTCTATATAATATATACATTTACATATATGTCTCTGTTGGATATAATTGAATTTACAAGAAATATATATTTTCATATTTTATAAAAGCTCTGGGGGGATCAGGGATATATATTTTATTAAAGAAGAGAAATATTCCACATAAATTGAATTTACACATCATAGGAGATATATGTAAAACAAGGGAAAATTGTTTTCGTCTTTATCTTTCTAGGAAAGTAACATATGGTAGTATTATTAACTTTAAATAGATATTGTAAATAAATAGATTGCCAAACGAGGATTGGGGTTAGTCAAGCTGTTTTTTCGAAAATAAAAAAATATGAACACACAAATTTGTTTACAGAAATTCAAGTTTTTACTGAAAAAACGGCTACAAAGCGCCCTATAAATGCTGAAAGAGTAACATATGGAAAAACCCCCCCCCCCCCATCTCTTTTCCTCTTCTTTTTCTCTAGAGTAAACAGTATCATGTTCTCGCCAGGATTACTTTACTCAGGAGTAACTAGAAATGGGCAAAGTCACTCTTACAAAGAACCCACAGTTTAGAAAATCTAATTTTTTAGCTGAAAAAATGGATATCTCATTTATATCCTTGTATGGTTTAAAATGGTACTTTTGTAAATTGGGCAAAGAGAATAGAATATATATTAGAGGGGAATTTACTAGAAAAAAGTGTAAAACGGCCATTTTGTTGTACTGTTTCCATACTGCAGGTGTACTTCACATATTTATGCTATATAACCTTTTGGGCTCTGGAATATCATTTTATAGAAAATCTAAAATTAATGTTAAAAGAAAATAGGCTGGTTTCATAAAATTGACCAATGATCATTTAACATAGACTATATGCCTTTCACTTTACAAACGATGATTTTCCGTTATAACTATAAATCAAATGATGTTTTTTATTCACCTAATTCAATATAAAGTTTATTTAACAGCTTTAAAAAATTCGAAATTGAAATGAATAGTCTAGGGTATATACTGTATTAATGTACTCTACTGCATATCATTTGTGAACATTTACATGATTTGTACACTTTGAACTCCCTTTCAGGCTGAAAGGGACTGAACAAATTCATACCGAGAGATTCTCTAAATTCCCTCTAATATATATTCTATTCTCTATGGAATCGGGCATGTCAGTCCTTGAAAAAAAGGACACTTGGAAATACGTCTACAGTCCCTTTAAGTTTTTTCTCTAGGTTTTTTGGCTTCAAAATGGCTCCACCAGAATCTGAGATGTTTAAAATATTCCAAAATTGTGTTCCAAATAAATTTGCCTTTTTTGTATTGTGAAAAACATTTGTTTTCACAAAACATATTTAAATTTTATTGTAAAATTTTATATTGTAAAGTGGAAGGAACTTACAATACATACAATTAAAAATAAGCTCAACAGCTTCGATGGCTCTCTAAAAAACCTTTCATATAAATGTTGAGCCAAAAATAACAAAATAGCAATATTAAAATTACAGATTCAAACCGTAGCACTGCCTTAAAGGTCAATTCATTGCAAGTATAATATCGAAAATGATCATTCTTTCAAGTATAGAGAAATCACCTCTTTTAACCAATTAAAGATTTATGCATTCTTGGGGTCACCCCCCCCCCCTTCACTCTAATCAAACATTGAATATCAAGCCTTAAGGATTTACAATGCTGGAATTTTAAAATTTCAAATTGAATTCTTTTAAGTTTTAATTTTCAGATTCAGAATGGAACAACTGGAAGAAAGAGAGAAACCCCTTCTCGGATACCTGGAGAAAAAGAAATCCAGTAATTGATCCTTTTCCGTCCTAGGTAAATAATTTTTCTGTCCTAGGTAAATCATTTTTCCGTCCTAGGTAAATCATTTTTCCGTCCTAGGTAAATCAATTTTTCGTCCTAGGTAAATAATTTTTCCGTCCTCATTTTTCCGTCCTTGGTGAATCATTTGTCCGTCCTAGGTAAATCATTTTTCGTCTTAGGTGAATCATTTTCAGGGTTTTAGAATTACGATAAATCTCAATTAAACAATATTTTGAAAATTCGTTTTCGATTCTTATATTTTTCAAACCTAACACCGTTGAACATCTTTATTATAAAAATAAATATAATATGTTTTAAATCATTCTTTTTTTACTGCAAATAATATGTCCAGTTATATAAATGTTATGATCTTTTTATATTAAGGCCCCGAAAAATAAACCAAATATTTTGTATAAAAATATCTGGACTCTGTGGACCCTGCAGTAAATAAAAATAAACTTAATTTCTCTGGTTCCACAATAGAACAGGAAATTTATTCTAAAATTTCATATTTAACGAAGCTTTGAAGTTTGCTGCACAGAAGTCCAAATTGGACTAACAAGCTAAATTGTCCCTTGGCAACCCTTGGCTCCAGGACTGTACACTGATTAACCTTTGTCATAAATGTGTTACTCAACTTTAAGATTGAAGGACTGCAATCAGAGCTTGTTTGTGTAAAGGGGGGGGGGCATTTGCAAATAAATTTATTTAATGTACTTTCAAGTTAGAAACATCGAACACTAAATAAAAAATTGTAGTTCTCTAAAACAGAATTAAAACATTTATATGCACATTTTGAAAATTTTTTTGATTTACAAAAAAGAAATTTCAAATGGCTTTTCCATTTTTCAACCGGCGTATTTTGTAATACTACAATTAAAATTGCCCAATGTTCGTCACATTTAAAAATTTAATTTAATTTTTTTTTCAGTTAAGAATTTGCTTTGCTGATTGATCGGGCCTAGACAGGACAGGATAGTTAATCCTGATTGGCTGGGCCCTAGACAGGACAAGATACTCGATTCTGATTGGCTGGGCCCTAAACAAGACAGAATTTTAGCTTCTGATTGGCTAAGAACAAAATCAATAGCTTCCTGGTCTAATTTTCTAAATTTTATAACCATGGAATGCGTCACATTTTTTTGGGTAAGAAAAAATATTGAATTTAAAAAAAAAAATTTATTTAATAAACCTAACTTTTGTAGATGTTCTTTGTGGTTCTTATAATCAATAAATCCTATCAGAGTTCAAGAAACCAGACTGAAAATGAGAAAATATGCGCTGTAGGGGGCAGGTTGGTACCAAAATACAAAAAGATAACAATTTATTAGAAAAAGAGTTTGGTAGATGCATTTTTTTTCTGAAAGGGACTGTTGTAGGAATTTTAAGTGACCCTCCATTTAAATGGGGGCATGCCAATGGTACTTTTTAAACCTTTATCTGATCAATTTTGGGGGTAAAATTTTTTCGGTTTTCTGGCTTAAAGTGGGATAAGTTCTCAAAAATTTCTGGATTGCTTCTGTAGTCAGAAATCTACAAGTCAATTTATAGAGAGACTACTTTATTTATATAATATTTGCAAAAATTGGATTTTTTCTGATATGCTGCAAAATTTTCTTTTTTTTTGAAAACTGGCTATTTCCATTTGCAGTGGTGTTATGCAAACGTAACTTGCACATTTCTTGGTTTAGAACCTATGGAGAATTTAGCAGAATTAAACACTTTCTATCCAGAAAAACAACGTTGTCTTCCACATTATTGATCAGATAAAAGTTTCAAGAATACTGTTCTAAATCAGACATGCCTCTCTTTAACTGAAGGGTACTTAAAATTCCAATAACAGTCCCTTTAAAGTTTTGAATATTGTCTAGGCAACGTATCTGTGTCCCGATGAATTACCAGAAGTACGATCTACCGGACATGAAGAACCCCACCTTGGTCACCATTGGAGTTGATATCAAGGATATTCCAAAGGAAGAATTCACTTTTAAACCAGCTCACAGTCCCTTTTTTATTTCTACAAGAACGTTTTATGAAAACCATTAATAGATGGACACATTCGGCTTTCTTCATTACGTTTGTTAATCGCTTGTGAACGACCCTTTTCGTGCGTTTTTTCTTTTAAATAACGATTTCGTTAGATCTCTCTCTCTCTGAGCATTCAGAAAAATCTTCGTTCAGAAAAATCTCTGTTCAGAAAAATCTTCATTCAGAAAAATCTTTGTTCAGAAAAATCTTTGTTCAGAAAAATCTTCATTCAGAAAAATCTTCAATTAGAAAAATCTTTGTTCAGAAAAATCTTCAATTAGAAAAATCTTCACCCAGAAAAACCTTCATTCAGAAAAATCTTAATTCAGAAAAACCTTCATTCAGAAAAATCTTCATTCAGAAAAATCTTTATTCAGAAAAATCTTCAATCCAGAAAAATTTTCCCTGCAAGCTGTCCCTTTTCATCACAATTTGACCACTCACTCTGTAATTTTTAAAAGATTGTTGACTTACAGACCAACATGCGATTAAATAAAATTTGGTTAGTTCGGGTTCCCCAATGCCCATACCAATTACTACTTGGTCATTGATATAAATCTAAAACTTTTGATTGTGAAAATACTTAACCACGTCTGAACTTGATAGATGCAGCTTAAACTTTCAAATTGAAGAATCAAAGTTTAATTTCAGGAAAAAGCGAGAATTTCACCAAAAGATATGTATGAACGTAATTTAAGGGATTGTATGGGTAGTTCAAAGGTAGGGAACCTCCATGCAAAGATGACAATACTCGGTTTACAACAGGATCCTTAAACTTTAATCTGATCAAAAATGAGGAAGATACCGTCGTTTTTCTGGCTCAAAAATCAAACCGCAAATTAAAATAAACAGTTTAAAGAAACAAAAACATGGATATATAATTTATACTTGTTCAGACAAAGCTTTCAATGGTACCGTGTAAATCGGGCATTGCCATCTTTGCATGGCCAGTCACTTGAAACTACACTTACAGTCCCTTTAAAGAGACAGGAGTCCCAGTCCACCGACTCAACGGCCGCACCAGGGGGGAAGAATAACCGGATAAGAACGTTTTAAACAGATTAAAAGTTTTGCTCCCCCCCCCCCTGGTTTAAAAATTATTTACTCTAATGGTATAAAGTGAATTTATCCTGGAAGGTTTCTGACAAAGATTTCTCAATAACCATAAATGCGTATTTTAACGTAAAGTGGAGAGATCCTAGGTAAGCTTTCGTTCAACTTCAAGTTAAATGCGTATTTTAACTTGAAGTGGAGAGATCCTAGGTAAGTTTTAGTTCAACTTCAAGTTAAATGCGTATTTTAACTTGAAGTGGATAGATCCTAGGTAAGTTTTAGTTCAACTTCAAGTTAAATGCGTATTTAAACGTTAAGTGAAGAGATCCTAGGTAAGTTTTAGTTCAACTTCAAGTTAAATGCGTTTTTAAACGTAAAGTGGAGAGATACTATGTAAGTTTTAGTTCAACTCCAAGTTAAATGCGTATTTTAACTTGAAGTGGATAGATCCTAGGTAAGTTTTAGTTTAACTTCAAATGCGTATTTAAACGTTAAGTGAAGAGATCCTAGGTAAGTTTTAGTTCAACTTCAAGTTAAATGCGTATTTTAACTTGAAGTGGAGAGATCCTAGGTAAGCTTTAGTTCAACTTCAAGTTAAATGCGTATTTAAACGTTAAGTGAAGAGATCCTAGGTAAGTTTTAGTTCAACTTCAAGTTAAATGCGTATTTTAACTTGAAGTGGAGAGATCATAGGTAATTTTAGTTCAACTTCAAGTTAAATGCGTATTTTAACGTAAAGTGGAGAGATCCTAGGTAAGTTTTAGTTCAACTTCAAGTTAAATGCGTATTTTAACTTGAAGTGGAGAGATCCTAGGTAAGTTTTAGTTCAACTTCAAGTTAAATGCGTATTTTAACTTGAAGTGGAGAGATCATAGGTAAGTTTTAGTTCAACTTCAAGTTAAATGCGTATTTTAACGTAAAGTGTAGAGATCATAGTTAAGTTTCAGTTCAACTTCAAATGCGTATTTTAACGTAAAGTGGAGAGATCCTAGGTAAGTTTTAGTTTAACTTCAAGTTAAATGCGTACTTCAACGTAAAGCATTGATTTCCATCTTATGCAGACTTAAGGATTATTTTAATTCCTCTGTGATATCCCATGGGGGCTAAACCTGCATAGGAAAACCTAAATTGAGGGATCAAGTATATTTATTCTCAAATTAAAAAGTGTCCACATCAGATATCAAGATCAAGTGTTTAAAATTAACAATATAAACGCAAAAGTTTCTATCTCTGAAAATATTACCTGGAAAATTCTATTTTTCTAATCGCTTTATCTCTGCAACCTGAGCTGGGAACTTAAGAATGGATAACCATTAAACACAACTACTTAATCCGAATATCAACTGCAGGAAACTTTTAATGTTAGTCCTTAATACTCTCTTTTTCTCTCGCTTTAGATATCCGTTCATTAAGAGTGCAGGAATGTACTTCTCAAATTTTATTGACTAATGACAGTCTTGAAAATGAATTCTATCCCAAGAGAGAAATCTGCAATTTCTAAGAAATAAAGAATATTTTGTCGGCCATTTTGTAAATTAATCGGGTGAAGAAAAATATTTAATAATATGTTTGAGATTGTTTTCAACTAATTTTAACTAATCTATTAATAAGTGAGAAATTAAGTGAAGACCCTTCCAGTCGAGAAAACGAACAAATCTGGCGTTCTTAGAATGAAAATTGTTGATCTAAATATTTAATCTCAAGATTATGTTAGTCTCGAGATTAGCAAAAAGAGAGGACTAAGCATTAATCCTGATATCCGCCATTTCTAAAGTTCCCAGCTCTGATGAAGTAGACCTTTGATAATTTTTAACTTGCAAGTCTTTTATCTCTGTTCTTTAACTTTTTTGCCAAAATGAATCCTTTGATTTTCAAAAAAGCTAATTTATTCTTTAATATTGCCCGTGTACATTTTCGCTGCTCTGCACAAAACTTTCTTACAAACTCATTTCTGATTTCACTTCAAATAATTTCGTTAAAGTTTGTTTATCGAATAATTTTTTGATAAGGTTGTTAGTGAGCAAAGATTACAGTAAAGAAGGGGAGCCAGACCCAGACAGCGAGGTAATCTTTTTTCAAGGATAGTTTAACAAACTGTTAGATTTTTAAGGATAGTTTAACAAACTGTCAGATTTTTAAGGATAGTTTAACAAACTGTTAGTTTTTTAAGGATAGTTTAACAAACTGTTAGATTTTTAAGGATAGTTTAACAAACTGTTAGATTTTTAAGAATAGTTTAACAAATTGTTAGATTTTTAAGGATAATTTAACAAACTGTTAGATTTTGAAGGATAGTTTAACAAACTGTTAGATTTTTAAGGATAATTTAACAAACTGTTAGGTTTTTAAGGATAGTTTAACAAACTGTTAGTTTTTTAAGGATAATTTAACAAACTGTTAGGTTTTTAAGGATAGATTAACCATCTGTTAGGTTTTGAAGGATAGTTTAACAAACTGTTAGGTTTTTAAGGAAAGTTTAACAAACTGTTGGGTTTTTAAGGAAAGTTTAACACACTGTTGGGTTTTTAAGGATAGTTCAACAAACTGTTAGGTTTTTGAGGATAGATTAACCATCTGTTAATTTTAAGGATAGTTTAACAAACTGTTTTTAAGGATAGTTTAACAAACTGTTAGGTTTTTAAGTATAGTTTTACCATCTGTTAATTTTAAGGATAGTTTAACAAACTGTTAGGTTTTTAAGCATAGTTTAACAAACTTTCAAGAGGTTTTTAAAGGGCTCTGTACTAAAAGGGCAGTTTTTTTTACCAAATAGTAGGAAGATGATCATCGTGATCAAATTAATAGGAATTCTAAAAACGGTCACTGAAGACAGAGTTTTTAAAGATTTAAGAATTTCTTGTTTCCGTAAATTATCTAAAGAATACATTTTTTTACTTATAATTTTCTATTTAATACACATGTTATTTCTTCTTCAACAGAGTTAACAAGACAAAGATCAGACTTATGAAGCCCTATAACTCTTCAAATTAAAAGCATGCAAACATTTTACTCATTTATTGCATTTTTCTGCGCAATATCAAAATTTTTATATGTCTATTTTTGTAATCAAATTTTTTAAGAAGCTGAATCACAATCTTTTTAAATTAAACAATTCAAAATATTTATTGTGAATGAATTCATTTAAAATTATGGACTGATCAGTTGCGTTTGTTAAATATATGCAGTCATTATGAAAGGCAGTGTTCGCGAAAAATAAAAGGTGGCATAGGCTTACATCGAAAAATAATCGCTTTTGATTGCAACTTGTCTTAGTTCAATATGTTGCGTCTATAAGGAGAAAATTGTTAAAAACCACTCATACCGAAGAACGTAGCGTCCATACAAAGTTGCAGTATACGACTCGGATTGTAAAAAAATCAATTTTTCGATGTGTTCGTATATAATTGATATTTCATAATATTTTTTATGTTTTTTTTATGATCTGATAGGTACTTTTGAAAACATTTATTCCTGTTTCGAGGATTTTTGATAATGCAGACGATATTTTCATATTTTCCAGGAATAGGAATGTTTATAAATCCATCGCCAGCCGTGAAAACAAGCTGTAAGCTAAATATTAATTTTAAAAAATCAAGAATATTATGATATATCAACTATATACGAATATGTTTCGAAAAATTATCGATGATAATAGGTTGTTATATCTAAATGATTTGTTTGGAATTAAATTGATTCTACAATCCGAGTAGAATACTGCAACTTCCAGAATTTGTATGACCGCTACGTTCTTCGGTATGAGTCGTTTTTAACAATTTTCTTCTTATAGACGCAACAGATATAAGCAAGAATAGCGATCAAATGCGCTTATTTTTTGCCGTAAGTCTATACCCCTTTTCATTTTTCACGAACAGTTCCTTTAAAGTCAAATTTTTTGTTGTTACCCCTAAAGAATATTTTCCCAAACAAACGTTGTTTTGATCCATATATCTTAATTCTTTATGCTTATCTATAAAACATATTTGTTTCTGACATTTTTCATTTAAAATATCCCAGGAATATTCTAAATATTCTAATATTCCTTTAAATTGTCCAGATATTAAGCTCGTTTACTTTAATATTATCCATCTTGACGAGACTAATAAACAACAATTGTTCTTAAAATTAAAAATAAATAGAAAAGAATAGAAAACTTTTAACTTCTGTACATAGCAAACTAGGGAAGGTTACCCACACAGAAAAATATTTTAAAGACGACTGTACAGATTTTATACAGTTGCAGTCTTGGTTCACTGCAACTTAAACTTGTTTATGTCGTTGCCAAACTATCAAGTAGATCATTATAAAGCTTCTTTAGGATTCATTTAACACATGTATTTAATATTTAAAAAACCCGATTCTGAAAACGTATCCAACCCCAAAGTAGAGTTTTGAACGTCGAATTTGGGCTCAAACTCAGGATTTACAGATCTTTAAGAAGTTCTGTATGTCTCAAATGAATCCTAAAAAAGCTTTCCACAATACTGTTTACTCAGTTCAACTACCTTACACAGCCGGTCTGTCCCTTTAACACTAAACGCTAAAATTGTTGCTAAGAGAGGGGCGCGAAGCCCTCAAAGCCTGGTTTTTAATATTTTTGATATTAAAAAATTTAAATATTTTATAAAGTATTTTTGCGTTGACACGCAAAAAGTCTTTTATGACAAGTTTCATTTTAAATCTATAAAAAACACGTCCCCCTCCCCCCTTTCTTTAAATATGCAAGTATTAGTATGCAAAATTGGCTTGAAACTCCAGGCATGTATTTGGTAGAGTTCGCAACATGCATAGATTTATAATATTTTAAAGGGGTTACCTAAACTTTTCATGATTTATGGAGAAATTTGGTGGATTTAAAAATCTTCCACAGATGACCATTAACACGTCTTGGAAAGATTATTTAATCTTTTAAATAGCAACGCTTTAAAATTCTACTTTCAAGCTTCTAATGCCTCAAATCTACAAATACTTAGAAGTCACTAAACGCATTAAAGGACTGCATAGATAAAATTCCGATTAATTCTCAATTATTGAGTTGCCTGTTAGATGTACAAAATAAATTTTAAAAATGTTTGATTTAGAAGGTTATTGATGCACCAACATTGACCGCTATAAACCATATATTTAGGAGGATTTGGATGCACCGACATTGACCGCTATAAACTATATATTTAGGAGGATTTGGTTGCACCAACATTGACCGCTTTAAACCATATTTTTAGGTATATTTGGATGCACCAACATTGACCTTTATAAACCATATATTTAGAAAGATTTGAATGCATCGACATTGGCCGCTATCAACTATATTTTTGGAGGATTTGGATGCACCAACATTGATCGCTGTAAACACTATATTTAGGAGGATTTGAATGCACCTTCATTGACCGCTATAAACTATATGTTCAGGAAGATTTGGTTGCACCGACATTGACCGCTATAAACCATATATTTAGGAGGATTTGGTTGCACCAACATTGACCGCTATAAACAATATATTTAGGAAGATCTGGTTGCACCGACATTGACGGCTATAAATTATATATTCAGGAAGATTTGGTTGCACCGACATTGACCGCTATAAATTATATATTAAGGAGGATTTGGTTGCACCGACATTGACCGCTATAAACAATATATTCAGGAGGATTTGGTTGCACCGAAATTGACCACTATAAACAATATATTCAGGAGGATTTGTTTGCAAGGACATTGACTGCTATAAACAATATATTCAGGAGGGTTTGGTTGCACCGACAATGACTGCTATAAACAATATATTCAGGAGGATTTGGTTGCACCGACATTGACTGCTATAAACAATATATTCAGGAGGATTTGGTTGCACCGTCATTGACCACTTTAAACTATATATTCAGGAGGATTTGGTTGCACCGTCATTGACCACTTTAAACTATATATTCAGGAGGATTTGGTTGCACCAAAATTGACCGCTATAAACAATATATTCAGGAGGATTTGGATGCACAGACATTGACTGCTATAAACCATATATTTAGGAGGTTTTGAATTTAACGACATTGACCGCTATGAACCATATTTAGGAGGATTTTGATGCACCGACATTGACCGCTATAAACCTGAATATACTACATCAGTTGTGGCTACCAGATGTTGAAATTCTTAATCTAAAATCATTTGAGACTCACAGTGTTCTCTCCAAACTTGAAGGTGATTAAATATCTTTTTTTTATGTTTTTTAAAAATGTCTTCCTCCTAGCTGTTATAAAAAATTCTAGCGTTGTGTTTCACTTATTGAAAATAATCGACGATATTTAGTCGACCTATTAAAAATATTAGTACGTCTCTCCTAATTCGCTGGATATATTTCTTCTGATCATCATGGATTCAGAGGAACATATTTGATAGGATATCAGAACATTTCGATACCATAACATCAAACTTTAATAGAATCTAAAAATCTTATACATGGCTAATAGAAATTAACCACAGTATGAAAAAAACTTAAATAAAGAATTTCTTGTATAATTGTTTATCATTTTAATATTTCTTATATAATTGTTTATCATTTTAATATTTCTTATATAATTGTTTATTATTTTAATATTTCTTATATAATTGTTTATCATTTTAATATTTCTTATATAATTGTTTATCATTTTAATATTTCTTATATAATTGTTTGTCATTTTAATATTTCTTATATAATTGTTTATCATTTTAATATTTCTTATATAATTGTTTATCATTTTAATATGATTTAAAAGAACTTTTTCAACAGTAGAGCACATTTATATTTACGGCCCAATTAAAAACACACTTTTGCAGTGTGTAAATATATTTAAAATGAACAGCGCATTATGCTTATCAGTTTATTTTTAATAAAATATGTGTCCTTGAAATAAATGCATTTTATTGTTCTTCTGCGGCTGCTTTCATGAATTTTAATGCATAAGTCATAAACATATTTTACACTTTAAAAGTCAGCAAGAGAGTCATTGTTCACAGTTTATCCTCCAATTCTTAAAAACAATTTAGATCCAGATCAAATCTTTTTTTTGTTAGAAAAAACTATTGTTGTTATTTCAAAAGCACTAGCTAAAGTGCCCGGTGTTGCCCGTAGAATTTTAAACCGCATCAAAAACATTTTTTTTAATTTTGAAAAAATTAAATTTGAATTTAAAAAAACTTTATTTTGAAGAAATACAAAATGTTCAGCTTTTTGTTACCCCCCAGTACATGAATATCCTCGAAAAATGTTAGCCAATTCTGTCCAACCAATATATATATATATAAAACTTATTGTTCCCTAGACACACAGGCCCATGCTCATAAATTTCAGGAAAGCAAATTTTAAAGGATTTTACCAAACATGTTTAATATACTGGGCTGTGAAGCTTTAATTCTTAGATTAGAACTAACTCGTTATTACATGACATTTGATAAAGGAATTAATGATCTCTAGCATTGTAAATCTTTCTCTGTTTAAGGAGGCTCTCAAACAACTTTCAAACTTCGAACCCGATATTTGGAAAATTTCCACATGGAGGACGAATTTAATATTTTAAAAGGTGATATCAGAAACCATAATTTAAAAAATTTGAAAAAATTATTTTTTGGGAGAATATGGAGAAAAGCTACGTTTTTTTAACACTGTTTGAACCTGTTTCAGGGAGATCTAATTTTTTTTTCCTGGTTGTAGACATAACTTCTTTAGGAATTATCAATTGTTAGACAGTAAGTTAGAAATTTGGTGACTTTCTTTTTCAAAATTGTAAAATTTTCATCCAATTTAGCAAAAATGGAAAGAATCGACTTTTAAAAATCACCCTTTAGATATACATAACATACATATTACATAGATTAATGGTGTAGTTTAGATATACATAACATACATATTACATAGATTAATGGTGTAGTTTAGATTTGTTTTGTTTAAATATAGGAATGATATTAAAAGTATCGATATCAATTATTTATTGTGCCTCCTAATATTCATTCTCATAATCTCTAATTTCATAAACTTGCTTTAAAAAGAAATCTAATCAGCATTATAATATATAATCTAAATAATGAGAAAATCAGAGTTTGTGACAAAAATTTAATTCCTTTGCAGTTTTCCGTGAACATTTTAGGTTAAATGTTTTTAAATGTTTCAAATAAATTGTTAAAGAAATTGTTAAAGAAAGTACTGTAGATAAAACTGGAGGGTAAAAGTGTGTTTACAACTAAATTCATGAATTCTTTCTATATATCTATATATATCTATATACATATACATACATACATATATGTATATATATGAGCGAAGAGCTTTATTATATAGATAAATGTCGAAAATATTCGTTTTTCAGCTTTCCTCCATATTGTTTGTTTCTAAATTCTGTTGCAGAAATTTGTAAGTCATAGAAAGTACACAATTAAAATACTTAACTTTAAAAAAAAGAAAATACTCTTTGACTAACTAAGCTCTTAAGGGTACCGTTGTGAATCAGAAATGCCACTCGTTAAATAGACTGTTACTTGAAATTAAGTGTATAGTCCCGGGAATATTGGGCTTTCAATTTTCCGTTATTCATGACTTCCAAATGTTCATTTATGTTTAGAATTATGAATATTCATATTGAACACTGTATTAGCATTGTTATTTTGGAATAACTACCGCATTAAACTCACAAAGTGGAAAATATTTTAAAGAGAAAAATTTAGTCGAAAAAATTGTAAAAAAAACCGCCATTTTGTTGTACTGGTACCGTGCTACAAGCGTAATATAAACCTATTTAATAACATAACTACACATAAGATTGCCTATACGTCGTCTTTCTGTTACCCAGATTTATGGTTCTAACTCTTATGAATTATATAATTTTTATTAATGATGGTCTGAATACATATTGGTGTAATGATTGGTGTTCTAATAAGCAGTCAAATTAGTTATGCATCGTATACACACATCCTTGAACAAAACATCTGCAGCGTATGGATAAAAAGATAATAAATAATTTATCTTCTGATGTAAAACACTTTTTTCTTATGTTTTTTTATACACGGCATCTCGCGCTGCATATATGGATAGACTCGAACCTTTATGTAAATGTATCTGGATAGACTTGAACCGTGATTTAAATGTAGATGTATAGACTCGAATCTGGAAGTAATGTAGTTTATAGGTATCTGGATAGACTCGAACCTGGAAGTAATGTATTGTATAGGTATCTGGATAGACTCGAACCTGGAAGAAATGTATTGTATAAGTATCTGGATAGACTCGAACCTGGAATTAATGTATTGTAACGATATCTGGATAGACTCGAACCTGGAAGTAATGTATTGTATAGATATCTGGATAGACTCGAACCTGGAAGTAATGTATTTTATAGATATCTGGATAGACTCGAACCTGGAAGTAATGTATTGTATAGGTATCTGGATAGACTCGAACCTGGAAGTAATGTATTGTATAGGTATCTGGATAGACTCGAACCTGGAAGTAATGTATTGTATAGGTATCTGGATAGACTCGAACCTGGAAGTAATGTATTGTATAGGAATCTGGATAGACTCGAACCTTAAAGTAATATATTGTATAGGTATCTGGATAGACTCAAACCTGGAAGTAATGTATGCTCTAGCTACAAGAATCACCTTTATCTGCCCAATGCGCTTCAATGCTTTTCCAATGGATATTCAGGTATTTTTAAATGGATCCATAGATAACAAATTTCCAATGGATATTCAGCTATATCTACATGGACCCAGGGATACTAGATGTTTACTACGCATAGAAATTGAAGGTTTAATAGAATGGATATCAAGATTTTTACCAAATATGAATATCCACATATTCATATTTTTGATGATAAAGAACCAGTTTTTAATAATGGATATCTGGGTTTTAAATAAATCTATATCTAAAAAATTTCGTTAATTTTCCAAAGAAGATGAAGTTTAGTTAAAGGAAGAGTCAAAGGCACACTTTTCAAATTTTGTATTATCAATTATAGGATATTGTCGAATTGTTCTAGCTTTAAAAAACCGCCAGTCACTTTATAAAGACTTCTAAATTTGTTTTTAACTCTAACACTTATCTCCATTGTTTCCGTTCAAGAAAATTTAAAATAAATAATTTTTAAGTTAAAAGCATGAATATCTCATTCACTCTAGATCATACAAAGTTTAAAAGGCGCCGCCTGTTGTGGTTTGAAAGTGGATGATCACTTGAAAATTCGTCTAAAGTTTCTGTAAGTATAGAAAAAAGGACATGTGTGCAAATTTAACTCATTTAAATACAGTGCAGTTTAACCACAACCCACCACTATGCATATATTATATATTTTCAAATTACAAAAGAAAATAAAATAAATGGAAAACTAAAAAAGTTAAAAAGTATCTCAAATGGATATATATTTTCGATAAAAAAATAGTTTTGCAGTTTAGTATTTATAATAGACAAGTAAATACATTTTAAAATAAATGTGTTAGATGAAAAAAATATCGGTTTCATGCCAAATTTTTTTAAAATACATTAATAATAAAAAATTAAATTTGTAAGCAAAAGCCTACATTTATATAACTTTAAACTTAAATTTGTGTTATAGATATTTTTGCTCCACGGCCTTTTTTCTAACTCCTCCTTTCAAATGCCATTTATCTCCCATTCTGTTAGGAAGTTTTGAGTGCAAAAGATGATAAGACTTTTCATCCTTGAACTTTTTTTTTGGGGGGGGGGAATTGGGCACAATGTTTAATCTTATTTTTTCACAAAAAATTTCTTTAATTATTTATTGATTTAATATAAAAGATTGTTATAAACCAAAAAAACTGTAATTTAAAGGGACTGTAAACCTAATTTCAACAGGGGGTGGAAACGTCATGGGGGTGTGTCTGTAGGTATATACAGTACATACGAATCTCGGTAGTTGTAACAGTCTAGGAAAGTACATTTGTTTAATGTTAATTGTTTACTTTAAAAAAGTTTAATATACATGTAAAATATTATTTATATATATAAGTCAACACTATAGGCCAAATTTTCATGCAAAGAATATAATTTGATTAAAGATTACAATAAACTTGTCGTTATTCAAGCTTAATTATTAATTAACTGTATGTCATGATGTGTGTCTGTACCAAAAGAGTGTGTGTAAGGTTTACCGAACCTTACACTGCAAAGCAGTGCGACTGGCTTTCTCATGCCAGACTTGAGCCATTTCCTTTCCTTTTATTCCTATTCCCTGAATTTCATTTGACCAGTTTCATTAATAAGATAAAGGTTTAAAAGGTCTCCTAGTGAATCGGGCGTTTCCATCTTTGCATGGGGGGTTACTTTAATTTACGCGTACTTTCCCTTTTGGTGTGTCAAAGTTTTGAAAATGTTGATGATAAATTGTGAGATGGAATCTAAACGATGATGTATTTAGATTTGTTGAATAAAATGTTCTTTAAATATTTAGGGTGTATTATTCAAATCTTGTATTATACTGTGCTTGTTTTTCAGACAGAAAATTTAACACATGTCTTGTGTAGATTTAGCAGAAAGATGTTTTTTTTTTAAAGATATCTGGAGATTTCTATTTCTGATCTGATCTTAAGTTAAAACTATTGAACAAGTAATCCCTTAAGATGGCAGTTATTTGTGATTGTACGAATTAAGTTAATAACATTGCGCCTCTAAGTTAAGCCTTTTCCTGTTGCTTTTCAAGTCGTCATATTTCAAATTTTCGTGGATTTTTCTGTTTAAATTGGTGGATTTACAAAAATAAATTTTCCAGACAAAATTTGTCAAAATTCACAGATCATAAACCTTTCAATGCCATTTTAAAGTAAAGCTTTGACTTTTGAGAAAGGGGTGACAAAAGTCGCCCCGCCCCCGCCCTTTGTGAACTCAATAGTTTTTATTTATGTGTCTATACTCTATAGTTATACTTCTACTACAAGACTCAGTATAATAAATCTTCTGAAAACTTTTCAAAAGAATTAGAGCAAAGGATAAATCTAAAACGTTCCTACTCCAAGAATAGGTAAACAATTGGAAACGGAAAGGGGAATAAAACAAAGGACAACAAAATCGTACAGTGCAAAGGGAATGCAAAACGAAAATCAAAAAGAAAATATACAAAAAAAGAGGCAAAATGTTGAGAATTATAGATAAGTAAAGAAAAACGAGAAAAATTTTGAGAATTATAGATATGAAAAGAAAAACGAGCAAAATTTTGAGAAATTATAGAAATGTAAAGAAAAACGAGAAAAATTTTGAGAATTATAGATATGAAAAGAAAAACGAGTAAAATGTTGAGAATTATAGATATGTAAAGAATTACGAGCAACATGTTGAGAATTAAAGATATGAAAAGAAAAACGAGTAAAATGTTGAGAATTATAGATATGTAAAGAAAAACGAGTAAAATGTTGAGAATTATAGATATGTAAAGAAAAATTAGTAAAATGTTGAGCATTATAGGTATGTAAAGAATTACGAGAATAATGTTGATAATTATAGATACGTAAAGAATTACGAGCAACATGTTGAGAATTAAAGATATGTTAAGAAAAATTAGTAAAATGTTGAGCATTATAGGTATGTAAAGAATTACGAGAAAAATGTTGAGAATTAAATATATGTAAAGAATTACGAGTAAAATGTTGAGAAGTAAAGATATGTAAAGAAGAAATTAGCAAAATGTTGAGAATTATAGATAGGGAAAGAATTACGAGCAACATGTTGATAATTAAAGATATGTTAAGAAAAATTAGTAAAATGATGAGCATTATAGGTATGTAAAAATTACGAGAAAAATGTTGATAATTATAGATACGTAAAGAATTACGAGCAACATGTTGAGAATTAAAGATATGTAAAGAAAAACGGGCAAAATTTTGAGAATTAAAGATATGTAAAGAATTACGAGCAACATGTTGAGAATTAAAGATATGTAACAAAAAACGAATACCATTATAGTGAGGAAAGATGTAAAGAATAATTATAGTTTAAAAACATTTTCTAATAATTAGTGGTAGCCCTATATAGAATAACATAGTATATATGGAGGAAAGATATAAAGCGTAATAATAGTTAAAAACTTTTTGTTTCCTGGGAATATATAAACAAGTTTGTTTTGTAGGGTTCAGCTGGAGAAATGTTTTATTAATCTAATATTATAAAGTTAATGTAGTAATTGTGCCTTTTTCTCTTGGTTCACACTGTTTAAAGGGACTGTGGACTAAATTTTAATAGACCCTTTAAACTGGAATGATTTTTATGACAGATATCTAGTTTGATACTATTTAAACCTTTCTAAGGGCAAAAATTATGAAGGATTTCTTTCTTTACTTTAGTTTGACGTGAAAATATTTAGAATTTTGAATATGATAAAATATGAAATGTAAGATACATGCATAATATATATTTACTGCAGCCTGGTTTGATAAAAGACTAGATATATATATGTAACAAGAAAAGATTAAATTCAACATAAGAAATTCCAATTTCAAAACCAAAATTTGTTCAAATGTTTAAACTATATTTAGAGGGACCTTATATAATTTAGAGAATACATCCTTTATCTGATGGATTATGTGTAAATGCCACTCTATACTCAAAAAGTTACGTTTACAATTATTTCCATTCAAGATGCACAAGATTTGTTTTCTAAATATATAAATGTATATACTTTGCTTGTCTGTGCTGGTGAATTGTTTGAATCCAATAAACCTCAAAACAGCTGAACCGATTGGGTTCAATTTTTGTGTTGGACCTCAAATGACCCCAGGGAAGGTTATGTACCATCAAAATATCAAAATTGCAAAAAAAAAATCTGAAACCCCTAAAAGCCTAGTCATATATGTTATACTTAATATATTAACATATATTTACAATGCAACAGTTTTTTAAACGCCTTGTTTGGTTTCGTATCAAAAATCTTTATAAATTAAAAACATAACTACAGAAGAAAATTAAACTACTGTAAGTTGGTATTTGATATATATTTTTTTATTTAAAACAAAATTTTATTAAAAGATTTAAATTAACACCCTAATTTCCTAATTTTTAAATGATTAGAGTGTAAATTTTAAAATATTCTAATAAATTTGACAATGCAAATTTTACCAAGTTACAACGCACATTGAGCTACGTCTAAACAATCAGTCACATCCAGATCTGCTATTCAAAGCCAACAAAAAAACACATATATATTTTTCGCATAAAATGTGCTGGGTAACGATTACAGACCGGGGCTAGAAAATATTTGTCTCGGTTTGGAATCACGGTCCGGGATATATTAACATACTTCACGACAAATTAACGAAAAGATTAAAATCTTATATTTATCGATCATATACTCCGTTTTTGATTGAGAAGAACAAAAATGTTTTGAATTTCTAATATAAAACCGTAATATAGGTTTTTCCTTATCAAAACTTGATGAGCTACGAGGTCATAAAGTTGGATCAGTAATATCGCATCAATTTAACCTTCTCCTTGTGTCTAGTTTGCATGGTGGCTTATATTCTTTAGATATTAACCCTAGCACAAGGAAGAAAGAAGAAAATATATTTGATAAAAACGGGTTCAAAAGTGATCTAACTCTTGTTGTTTCAGGTGTGTAAGTTCCAGGTGGGGAGCTTTAACTACGACATGAGCAAGATGGCATTTCAGAACGAGTTCGTGCCAAAGGAAAATATTTGTCGATTTAAAAAAAAACATAATATTTATAATTCCTTAAAGAAGCAAAGTTACATCAAAAATGACCCCGAACAAGTAAGTGGGGCAAAATATGTTTGAACTTTTGCTTTTAACAGAGAAAAAAGTTAACAATATTTTTGTAAAATATATAATACCCTTTTGGACACACTTCGTAAGTTCGTACTATATATCAATGATATATATATCTAAAAGACAATCGTCTTAACAAAATTTGTTTTTTACTGATGTAAAAAAATCAAAATCAATAACTAAAACTGAAAAAAAAATTTAAGTAAAATTTAACACCTCTTTAACTTTGCAGAAAGATTAAATAATTTTAGATAAAACAAAACTTAAAAGTTATTTTTCATCTTTGATTTAAATAATTAGGACAGAACAAAGGAAACAATTAAATAAATTTTAAAAACAAATATTAAAATAGGATACAAGTATAAAATCTATCCTTGATTATCAGATAGCATTCAGTGCTTTAAAGGATAGAGACACGCATTATATGGCCATAGGAAAGGATAATTATCACTTAGAAATAATGTGCCCACACCCCGCTATAACCATGAAAATGAGTACTAAAAAATTTTGTTCGTTTACAAAAATTTTGTCCGTTTACAAACATTTTGTTTGTTCACAAAACTTTTGTTTGTTAACAACAAATTTGTTTGTTCACAAAAATTTTGTTTGTTCACAAAAATTTTGTTTGTTCACAAAAATTTTGTTCGTTCACAAAAATTTCGTTTGTTCTTAAAAATTTCGTTTGTTTTTCAAAATTTTGTTCGTATTTAAAAACGATGACCATCTCTATCCTTGAGATCCAATATCCTATTGTCAGGTATGAACTACAGTGCTACAGGATTTGAGTTGGTCCTCACTCGTAAAATGAGTTTCTATGTTGTTACCTATTATCTTCCATCAGGACTATTCGTCATTGTTTCATGGATCAGGTTAATAGTTATTTCATCATCGGTTCGAAAACTTTAAATGATTTGGAGAATAATTATTTTATCATCGGGTTGAAAACTTTAAATGATTTGGAGAATAATCATAGTATCATCGGGTTGAAAATTTCTTAGTTTATCATCGGGTCGAAAACTTTTAATGGTGTTAAGTGGAATTTCAAGTGAACTTCCATGCAAATGTTGCAATGGCCGATTTACAACAGTTCCCTTTAAACCTTTATCTGATAAAAAATGTGAAGGACAACATCGACTTTCTGACTCAAAAATGTTTATTTGTGTGAATTTCTCCGTTATTTCTTAAAAGCAAGAAATGCGCAAGTCACTTTTGAAGAGAAACCACAAGTGAATATAATTAGTTTAAAGAAACAAAAACACACAAAGCTATTTCATACTTAATCAGACAAAGCTTCTAAGGGTAAATCGGGTACAGTCCCTTTAAGTTGATTGCATAATCTATCCTTGGAAGATATTATTGATTTTTAAGTATTTCATGATTAGACTTGTTAAAGGCATTTGATATTCGAATTCATTTTCATTATTTAATTTGTTTTCCAAATTCAAATCCGTCGCTATCTGTTGTTATCAATAAGTTTATTTATCAGAGTCCGATTTTAAAGAAATTGAGCCGCGGCTTAAATTTGAGACGCGGATCAAACATGGTTTGTTTCACTTAAAATTGTATTCAATGTTTCAAGATTTAAGCCGACGCTCGATTGAAACCGGTTTTTGGTGGATTTGAGACGCGACTCAAATCCATAAATTTGGACTATTGACAGGTGCACAACTGTCACTGTGGAGGACGGGGGTACATATATTTTAAATAAGTTTTTTTCATTAGGTTTAAAGGTTTAAATAAAGAAGAATTCAGTTGTTGTTTGTATATTTTGAACTCGTAATATCCTAATATATAAAAAATATTAGTTTAAGTGATTGATTGATTGATTTTAGTTTCCTGGTAAACCCTGAGATAATACCTGGACAGATGATTAATTGATTGATTGTAGTTTCCTGGTAAACCCTTTGTTAATACTTGGACAGATGATTGATTGATTGAGTGAAGTTTCCTGGTAAACCCTGAGATAATAACTGGACAGATGATTGATTGATTCTAGTTTCCTGGTAAACCCTGAGATAATACCTGGACAGATGATTAATTGATTGATTGTAGTTTCCTGGTAAACCCTGAGATAATATTTGGACAGATGATTGATTGATTGTTTGTAGTTTCCTGGTAAACCCTGAGATAATACCTGGACAGATGATTGATTGATTCTAGTTTCCTGGTAAACCCTGAGATAATACCTGGACAGATGATTAATTGATTGATTGTAGTTTCCTGGCAAACCCTGAGATAATACTTGGACAGATAATTGATTGATTGATTGTAGTTTCCTGGTAAACCCTGAGATAATACCTGGACGTATGACCCTACTGGTCACGATATTCCTTGTTCTCATAAATATTCATAATACTATTCAGACAAGGTCAGTAATATTGATAATAATAATAATAATAATAACAATAATAATGATAATTTTAATAATAATGATAATTCTAATAATAATAATAATTTTAATAATAATAATTATTTAGATAATAATGATAATATTAACAGAAATCATAGTCTTAAGACTTAATCAACTTCACCAAGATGTTGATCTTACTTTTTAAACATTACTTTCAAGCTGCATTCCTTCTTCTTAAACATAATGAAACCCTAAATGATCCATATATCGAAGAAATTTATCAAATGGCGTCTTGACAATTTTTTATTGGGTTTTATACTATTTTACGTAAATCTCAGTATTTGCTAAGCCATGAATATGCGGGAACAGTTTTAGAGAGTTCCATATTATCATTTAATTAAAAAACTAAATGTCTGTAACATTCAATTATCAGAAAGTGAAGAATACGACATTTGATGAATTCTTTCGATGTATGGCTCAGCAAAGTTAAGGCCACTGCATAAATGTAATATGAAGTAAGGGTGCCACCATAGGTTTATAACAATGCAAATAGAGCACTAGATGTCGTCTTTTCAAGATTCAAGGTTTTTTGTTCACAATAACCCTGCAGATCCAGAAGACCAAAGGAGTAACGAGCATGCTCTCTCTCTCTGTCTTGTAATCTGACGCTGCCTTCGCGTAATTCTTTTGGGCTTCTGTCTTCGGTTATTATGAACGAAAAAAAATTCTTTAATATTGAAAAGACGACATATAGTGTTCTATCCGTTTTGTTATTTATATATGGATTCAACCTTTGGGCAACCATAGAGAAATTTTTTCGTACAGGCTCAGCTCACTCAAGTTCTGTTTTCCTATTGTTCAAAGGTCGAAATTTATGAACGAGAATAGAAGTGGTTGAACATATTACCACGTTCATGGTTTGGCTATTTCTCTTGAGCCTTTTAACCATTTCTCGTAAATCAATAATTTCCATCTTGATAACCAAATAATATTTTTACGATTTTCTTCAACTGTAAACTTGTTTCTTTCTTTCCAAGTAATTAAAGAAGCCATGTACATAGTGTCCCACGAAATAAAACAGTTGGTGAATAGTTTAGAATGTCTTCTTCCATAATATATCAAGTTCTTTGTTACCAAAGAGAATTTTAATACTTTTTGGCAATCATATTATAGTGAAATTGATTTCTAAGTAAAATATATCTAAATAACGGGTTTTCAAGCTAAATAAACTGCAAAAAGTTTTTAATATCTAATACAGCATATGGAAGAAGACTTTCATAACTTTTCACCAACTGTCATGTTTCGTGGGACACCCTGTAAGTCAGAAGACGGTATTTAACCTAAGGATCGTCATATTATATTTTATAAGTTGTTATCTTATCCTGTGATGTAACCCTGAATTTATACTTTAAGTGAGTTTCCCCAACATTTTTATAAACAGATAAGATGTCACTTTCAACCATTCCGTCGTATAATCTCGGGATACAGTAAACAAAATAAATTGCAATAAATGTCCCAAATGTTGGAGTTAGATTTGGCTTCAATATTCAGATAGATAAATAAATATTATTTAGTTTAGCCTAAATAAACTTCAACCATACAGCTGTGGGATCTATTTTAAAATTTATTTTCGAAAAATGTAATTAAATTTATTAAAATTTTAATAATAAAAAATTTTACGAAAAAAAATTAAGTTCTTGACACAACCTAAAATTTTCTTATCTGATGATGTAAACCTTTGATATTTCAAATTTAGATTATTTGATCTAGCAGAGTGCATGGTTTGAAATGTTTATAGCAAGGGATTGTAAGGGTAATTTCAAGTAACCCTATACATGAAAAGATTGCAATGCCCGATTCACAACCGTACCCTTCAAAGCTTGTGTGAACAAGTAAGAATGAGATATTAATGTTTATAAATTGGAAACATTATTATTTCAATTGGGTTCCCTATTAAAGCGACTTGCGCATTTCTACTACGGGAAAACATAAAGGAATGATCAGAAATAAACACGTTTAAAGTGTGGTAAACTTACGTACAAAGTGAGAGCGCATAGACTAGATTAAATTATAATTTTGAAGTAGTTGAACCGCGTTGGATGGAGTTGAACCGCTTCTTCAGTGCCCCCCGATTCAAAGAGAAGAAAACTGGTTCAAAAAAAGTCTTAAAGTTTTTATTAAATCTGGTTCCCTCCTGGTAAACAGTTTGAAATACTAGATTTAATTTATATTTAAATTGATATTGAAGTTACTAAAATAGTTTTGCCTTGAGTCACATAGTGGTCAGTCCCAGGCGGTTTTTAACATAACAATTTGATGAATTAATTTTCTATTTGAACATGTCTGAATGCTGAAAAGAATTTGATTTTCACTGTGTGTTAAAATGACAGTTGAATAGGGAACTCTTTACAACTCATCTCTTTTTAAACTCTTTTCAAAATTATGCTGTTCCAACAATTTGGAAAATAAGAACATAAGTTATTCCAATTTTACTTTTGCAATGGTTTTATCAACTTAACAACAAAATGGTATGTTTGACAAGAATGTCTTGTATAAAAATTTAAACCGGCGCCTGAGACGACCCAGGATTACCCACAAAAAAAATTAGATTTCTACGACGACTTTTATAGATTCATATTTTTTACAAGTATGGTTCCAATTTATACGTTTTATTCTTTTATTGCCAAATTATTAATTATTCGTACAAGTATCACATTCCTATCTTTATTTTCGCGAACAATCCCTTTAGAATTTTTGTTCCAGGCTGAGGGTTTGACTGCAATTGAATGCTGGGTGATCGCCTGCATTATATTTGTATTTGGAGCTCTACTAGAGTATACTGTTATCCTGCTTAAACTCAAGATAAGAAAGCTAAAGTGTACAACCAACGGATCTACTAAAGTGAAAAATTGCTCAAAAATCATCCACGGAGGGAATCGGCCTGATAAATTTACAAAAACTGATTTGATTTTTCTTTGTTTGTTTCCCATTCTTTTTCTTATTTTTAATCTTTTATACTGGACAGCAGTATTCTGGTGGAGATACCAGAATTATACAGATGTACTTTAATCTGTTATACGTTGCAGCTGTATATCAGAAATATACAGATGTACTTTAATCTGTTATAATGTACAGCTATATATCAGAACTATACAGATGTACTTTAATCTGTTATACTGTACAGATGTATATCAGAACTATACAGATGTACTTTAATCTGTTATACTGTACAGCTGTATATCAGAACTATACAGATGTACTTTAATCTGTTATACTGTATAGATGTATATCAGAAATATACAGATGTACTTTAATCTGTTATAACTTACACTTTACAACTGTATATCAGAATTATACAGATGTACTTTAATCTGTTATTATGTACAGCTATATATCAGAACTATACAGATGTACTTTATTCTGCTATACTGTAAAGCTGTATATCAGAAATATACAGATGTACTTTAATCTGTTATAACTTACACTTTACAGCTGTATATCAGAATTATACAGATATACTTTAATCTGTTATTATGTACAGCTTTATATCAGAACTATACAGATGTACTTTAATCTGCTGTACTATACAGCTGTAATTCAGAACTATACAGATGTACTTTAATCTGTTATACTGTACAGCTGTATATCAGAAATATACAGATGTACTTTAATCTGTTCTACTGTACAGCTGTATATCAGACATATAGATTTACTTTAATCTGCTATACTGTACAGCTGTATATCAGACATATAGATTTACTTCAATCTGCTATACTGTACAACTGTATATCAGAAGTATACAGATGTACTTTAATCTGCTATACTATACAGCTGTATATCAGAGATATAGATTTATTTTAATCTGTTATACTGTACAGCTGTATATCAGAAGTATACAGATGTACTTTAATCTGTTCTACTGTACAGCTGTATATCAGACATAAAGATTTACTTTAATCTGCTATACTGTACAGCTGTATATCAGACATAAAGATTTACTTTAATCTGCTATACTGTACAGTTGTATATCAGAAGTATACAGATGTACTTTAATCTGCTATACTGTACAGCTTTTTATCAGAGATATAGATTTACTTTAATCTGTTATACTTTACAGCTGTATATCAGAAGTATACAGATGTACTTTAATCTGCTATACTGTACAGCTGTATATCAGAAGTTTACAGATGTACTTTAATCTGCTATACTGTACAGCTGTATATCAGAGATATAGATTTACTTTAATCTTTTATACTGTACAGCTGTATATCAGAAGTATACAGATGTACTTTAATCTGTTATACTGTACAGCTGTATATCAGAAGTATACAGATGTACTTTAAAACAAAACCGGGTTTCATATACTGGGTTTCATTACGATTCTCTGCCTTAAGTTTCGGGCTCTACTATACAATACTTAATTCTATCTGTATAAATAAACTGTCTGTCAACCAGAACTATTTAAACAATTGTAAATGTATCTAAACCCAAAGGTTTCCGCTATATACTCCTCATTTGCCGTTCTGAAAGGGACTGTCTGCGTTTGTGCGTTAGTGACGGTACCTTTTCGCCTTTTATTGGATTAAGAATGAGGAATTTTTTGTCTTGAAAAGAAAAATTCTCTCAATATCCTTCCATGGCTTGTGGTATAAATCCGCAAATCAATTCTATGGAAAACCACAATTTAAAAATGTGAATTTTCAGTTAGAAACG